TTTCCTGGTTTCGATATCGTACTATAACTATGCATGATGTTAAAATTGTGGGAAACTCGATGAAAGGTACAGGGGACTTTTCTGCATTATGCAACAACTTGTGATTGTAAGATTATTTCAAATTTGAAAAGTTTTTAAATAAAATACATCTTTAAACATTTATTTGAGATAGAGTCTTTGAAGAGGTCAGTAAGTTAAATCAGATTATGTGGGTGGACCCTGATCCAACCTGACTGGTATATTTGTAAGAAGAGGGAAAGAGGCCCCCAGAGGGACAAACACCAAAAGGCAGCAACAGAGTGGCCTTCTGCAAGCTGCAGAGAAACAGTTAAGAGAAATCAACACTGCTGCCACCTTGATCTTGAACTTCTAGCCTTCAAAACCATAAGAAAATATATTTCTGTTGTTTAAGCTGCCCAGTGTGCTGTATTTTGTTAGACTTACCCTCACAAACTAAGATGCATCTGGTTTTGTCTCCTGGCCTTGGCATCCCAGAAAAGGTGTGGCAGAAACCCATTAAATAAGAAACAAGATCTTAGCACATAAGAGCTAAATTTTAGGCAACCTCTCCCTACCCATGGAAGGTTGGTGCTCAGCAAGGTCACTGAAATATAGAAGGATCAGTAGTTTTCATGGTAGGTCCAGAAGGCAGAATAAGGATAGGGAAACTTATAAGAAGGCAGATTTCTAACACAACCTAAGGAAAACTTCCAAATGGTATTGCAATTTGGAAATGGAATGAATGGCCACATGATACTATAGTGTCCAAACTGCTGAAGCAGAAGATGAAATGAATCAGCTCACCTGTTCCAGAAGTCTCAGATCTGATTGACACCCATCTCTACTCAAAGCACCAGGAAACAGGGATGTGATCTTCTATGATGTCCCTCTAGTCTCCCCATCTTTCCCCCAATTCTTCATTCTGACTTTGACACTTAGTTTCCATGCAAACTGCACCTACTGGCTTAAATTTCAGGCAGAATGCTGTCTTCCTACCCTTCCTGGATCCCAGGAATTTTATTTCCTAAGGTTTCAGGGTGTCTTGTGAAACACCCTAACTTGCACCTGACTCTGAACCACCCTTGACTCCCATACAAACCCCCTGTCTTGTGAGCAGATCTCAGATGCACCTGAAATAAGCAGCACTCTCAGACCCAGAGCCCAGCCCCATCCAGATAAATGATCTTGGACAAGTTTCTTCACCTCTAAGTATCACAGTTTACCTGTATGCTTCATACTGAGCAGCAAAAGTTTTGAAAACTGATTTCTAACAGAGCAATAAATGGTATGGCATATGTTCACAAGGGAATACTAGTATGCACCAATAATGTCATGGAATATTTAGTAACATGATGAAATGTTCATGAAATATTAAAATAAATGAAATTACAAAATACTATTTATTATAAACAGTTTCTTGTAAAAAAAAGCAACCAATGCAGAAAATGAGATTAGAATGACATACACCACAAAACTAGAATTAACTATTCTCCTTTTCTGTATTTGTGAAGTTGCCAATAGTGAACTTGTAAACTTGTATGACTTTTTAACTAGGAATAAAGTTATTTTAAAAATCTTTACTATTCTTTCGCCTTTTCCCTCCTCCTCAAAAACAAACAAAAAGGCAACCAACCAATGTAGAAATCTAGTGAAAGAACATAGTAAAGTAGCCCATTACATCATTCCCCCACCCCTCAGAAAATCAAATACGACTTGCTGTATTTTAAATTTGGAAAAACAAAGGGCAGCTAAGAAAACTGCACTAAAGGAAGGTCACAACATGGAGCTAGCTAGAGACATGACTAGACTCCCAAAGGATCAATTCTTGGACCTCAGCGGGGACCAAATGGGTTCCACCAACACCCTGCCCATTCAATTCCTCTAGGAACAAAGAGTGCCACGTGCCACCCACGAGTCATTATCTGGCGGCCCTGTGAGGCTGAGCTCCGCAATGGTGCTGTTCTGAAAAGCCTGCCAGCAGAGTTGAGTCCCCATTCATCCAGTTTTGTCCCCTGATAATAAGCTCCTCTGGCTCCTTTCTGACACTAGAAAGAACTGACTGCAGAATGGTGGCAGCCAGAGAAGGTCCCTGTGAATGGCCCATCCAGGAATTCAGGAGGTTGGCAATAGCTCGGCCACAAGAGGCCAAAGCAAATAGTTGTTTCAGTAAGACTTTTCAGCCTCACTCAAGAAAGATAACTTCACTTTTCCTTAAGTCTTAAGGCCTTGCCTCTGACCTAGCCACAAATGTTCAGACTGCACCCATCTGATGACCTACTATGTGGCCAACCCAGAGGCAGGTCTCATCACCAGTGAACTGCAGCCTGGACAGGGCATGCTGATCATTCTTTTCCCCAGCACACTCAAGAAAAGACTGCTTGTAAACAAGCCTTTGTTTTACATGTGCAATATTTAAATCCTTTAGATCACTAATCCAGTGTCACCCTTTAGGCATGTGACCAAATGATTCACAGGCCTCTCTCCAGACAAGCTTTGTAGGAGCGAGAACCAGCAGACACACACATAAAATTATACTCCAGTGAGCTCACATTTATACCTATGGTCCTAGGTCATTCCTTCAAGATATCCCTCATCTCTTAGGCTATATATCCCATGGATCCTTCCTGAAACAAAGTGGCTTCAGGAACAAGCACCCAATTAGAGGAGATAAATGCTGAAACATTCTCATGATCATAAAAACTATTTTATGACTCATACAGTAAATGAACAAACCAGTTATTCTCTGCATATGTTACGGTCTTCTTAAATTGTTCGTGGAGAATTTGACCCATGCATGGAATAAAAGCCACCTACTGAGGCCAGTCTGTGCAAAAAGCTTACTCTCTGCTGTTCCTGATAAGCAGATGCATGAAATCATTTCAGAGAGACCCAGAGCAGCCATCTCCACAGCTGTACACTGACACATTTTGGAATCTAATCAGAGACACAAGAGCCACTAAGATGTCCACGCACCGTGCAAATAGACACTCAACCAACTCGATTTAATTATCATAGAGAAAAACAGAAGCCTGAGCAGAAATTCAATTGAAATCCTCTTCCTACCAAAGACTCACTGCAAATCCCATAAACCACACCTCAGAACAGAAGAAGGCCCCTTCCCAAGAATGGTAAGCCCTACTGTTCACACCTTCACCTCCCACATCCAAAGTCAAAACTCTTCCTCTTCCTGAAGTTTTGCACATAAAAGCCAACCCATGCAGTGGAGGAGATATCAGAGCCTAACTTGTCAGAGTATCCTTCTAGAAAAGGGTTCAGACACTGCGGCTACAAGCCTCAAGCAGAGGTGAATTAGCACCAGTATGAATTCAGGGGCAATTAAAGAGAGATTTTTCTCCTTGGTTCCATCATCAGAGATAAGAACTCAACTTTTCACTCCCTATTTCCTTCCCTGCATTGGAGATTGCACTGGGCAGAACACTGCCCAGGAGATTGTTTTAATTGGTGACTAAGAGTAAACAGCTCCCTACGCCCGCCCCCCGCCCAACATAGATACACACAAAGATAAAATATGAAAACTTTCCCTGGTTTAACTGCTTGCTATTACTGCTACCAGAAAACAACTCCACTGGGGTCCTAAGATAACAGCAGTCAACTCAGAGACCAGTTGTCTGATTGGAGCTCAGGAGACCTTTCTTTGCTACATGCTGTAGTCTAGGTCCTGATCTGCAATGGATTCATATGATGTGCCTTTCACTGAAGTTCTAGCAGCAGCAAAAGCTAAATGATTACCTCAGTCCCCACCCCCACCATGTCCCTCCTAACCATTTGAGGGAATAGCCATCTTTGCTGAGCAGTCCTGAGTTACATCTAGGCCACCAGCACTCCATCTGTGGATGAGGAGACACATACTCTGTACCTTTCCCATCCAGAACATCCCCTTCACAGGGAGCAGAAACATCTATTTGCAACACAGTTGTTCATGAAAGCCCTCCACTCCACAGCTGGGACAGAATGCCACAGAGGAAGATCAGCACTCTGGTGTGTACCCTTTCCAAGCCTCTTTATCTCAGAAACCTTGGGCAGTGACAGGTGAAAACTTGCAGACATCAAGCTTTATGTTAAATTTGGTTCAAATTCTATTTTAACTTAAACCTACATATTATAATTAACTTTACACCTCAAGGCACACTGCATATGGGAGGCACAAAGCTTTCCCAGACAGTTAATTGTTTCAAAGCTTAGGACTCAGTGACTAGGGATGAGTCGGAACAATTCAATGGCTTAAAGAAGGCAAAATTACACTGGGTAAATAAGGAGATGGGAGATGCTCAGCAGGACAGCCTTCAACCTTCCAAATGACCATCCAACAGTGCCACACAAGCAACTTGCAATGTCACTGATAACCCTAGACCTACAGGTACTTCTGTCTTTCCTATATAAAATATCAGAAACTAGAACAGTGCAAAATAATCTTTTTAAAATATGCAAATCCTTTATCTCTTCCTAAATATCCAGTTCCTGCCCATATCCACATTATTGTAAACATTTATCAGAAATTACCAACTTTGAATTATACCAAATGCCAGCAATGAACCCTCCTTTTGAGCTAAAAAAAGAACACTGCCCAAGAGATTGTTTTAATTGGTGACTAAGAGTAAACAGCTCCCTGCGGCTCCCCCACCCCACAACATAGACACACACAAAGATAAAATACCAAAACTTTCCCTGGTCATGTCTTCCCATGTGAAGTCTGTTAAGGCTCCAACGCAGTGGGGCTAAATTATGCACATGGGAATCACCTGGGAAGCTTTAAAAAAAAATGCTCCACCCTAGGTTACACCTTGGATCAACTAACTACACTATAGAATTTTGGGGAGAGGATGGACAACCCCAGAATCAGTATTTTTCAAACCCTGCAGATGTGCAGACAAGACTGAGAATCAATGCCCCAGCAATACCAAAGTACCTGGCCGACTTTTGTCCCAAAGGTCAACACACTCTGGTTGCGAGTGCACACACCCAGCAGGGGCAGCTCCTACCTATGTAAAGCGAGGAGTCCTTCCTCCGCACATGGTCGTCGATGTAGGAGACCCCCAGGGGCTGCACGGGGGTAGCACCGATGCCCAGGAGCACCTGGGCCCCAATGAGCAGCAAGTACATCATGTTGGTGGCCGTCCTGTTGCGGCAGATGAGGTCAGGGTCGGGCCCCTCGTCGCCACCTGAGCCGTTGGCAGCGCAGACGTCGCGGCCCTCAGCGCCCCAGCGGATCTCGCCAGCCTCGTACTTGTACTGGTGGGTCAGGAACTCTGGCAGGGCAGAGAGCAGTGCGCCCAGCGCCATGACGATACCACCGCAGCCGATGAGGCGAGGGCGGTGTCCGCGTGCCCCGAAGTAGCTCACGAAGAGGATGAGCGCCAGGTTTCCAATCTCGAAGCTGCTGGCGATCACACCCACGTCTGCGCTCTGCAGGTTGAACCTGCGCTCCAGGGTGGTCAGGACGCTCACCTGGGAGAGGTGAAAGGACATTTCAAAGCCCATCCAAACAGTCACCAAGGGGGCAGCCTCTCTGCCCTTCCTGGACCCTCCCACCCACCTGACATTGGTACCGTTACAAAAAGGCAGATGGAAACCCAAAGAACCAGAAAAAAAAAAATATTTACTGAGTATGATAACCCCAATTCAATGGTTAAAAATTCACTTTCATAATAGCAAGGCCGTTTTCTGGGCGCCTGTTTGCACCTTGAGAGGTTCTCTAATTTCCCTATCCCAGGTGCTTCCACCACTTAGAGCCCATGAAGTTCAAAAGAAGCCCTAAAGTCCACAGTATGCACCTTTAAAAGGAGCAAAGTTACAAAACACTCACTTGACAAGAGATTCCCTATGCATGTAACCTATGCAAATGCACGCTATACAGTTCATGCTGGGAGACAACAGAAGTACAGGCTCTTTCAGGAGGTCTTTGCAAAGCCTAAGCAAAATGAATAAACAAAAACCTAAATGGCAAATAGACAAACTAGATTATCTCAGGATAATTATTAGTTCTGCTTTCTTCTGGGAATTTCCACATGATGCACGTTTCTCTAAAGGCCATCAGGTAAACACACTCCTGACTATTCTAAACACTACAGCCCTACCAAAGACCTTCAGATGCAGTATTTTTATGGTTTTCCCACCTTTGTATTCTTGTCTGCTCTACATTTAACAAATATTTACTGAATATTTGCTGTTTGCCTGGCAATGCCCTAGACACAAAGGATGGGGAAAATGAGAAAGAGGCACCTGGCTTTGAAAGGCCACCTAACAGGAAGGTATATGTGTGCCCAAATTGACTGGAGGCTCCATTCCTGAAGCAAACCTCACACTGGGGACCAAGCAGAGAAGCCATTTTTATGGAGTTTCTTAAGGGACAAGGAAGATGAGCAAGAATCCCTCTCCTTTGCAAGTTCCATGAAGGGTATTACAGGAAATTCAAGCATCCCTGCTGTGGGAGATGGCCTCCAATCAAGGCCCTCATGGGCAGGGAAGAGCACTTTAGGCAAAAGAAAGGGCATGAGCCAAAGCCAGCAGCAGCAGTACAGAATGGAGAATCACTGGAAGGGGGGTTGCAAGCAACCGTCATGAGGAACTCAAGCTATCCCGAGCCATGTGCTAGAAAGAATGCACATCATGGAGGGAGAAAAACCTGGTAAATCTCTGCTGTTTCCTTAATAAGCTCTATGGCCTCAGTCACATTACTTAATCTCCCCCAGCCCTGATTCTGTAAAATAGGAATCATGGCATCCACCTGGCGAGACAGGTGTGACAATTAGAAATAATGTATGTGAACTCTGTTGGTTCCATTGGTTGCAGGAGCATATAGAGAGACAGACAGCAAAGCACAATGGGGACCAGCAGGCCAAATCAGGGCTCTGGCTGGACCTCCTGGGTACACCCTGACTCTGGGTGATTTTGGCCAAGTCACTCTGGACTTTAGCTTTCCCATCTGTAAAACAGGGGATAACCATGTAACCTCCCAGGGCTAGAGCCAAGAATAAGCCATGCATATGTGTAAATGTGAGGTGAGCATTAACTATTACTATTATCACCGTTATGCTCATTTAACTGTGAGCACCAGGGAGCATCCAAGATTTTTAAAGAGCCTAAGGGTCTCACCCAGTATGGCCAATGGATGCTGGAAGAATGAAGAAATGAATGTCAATAGAGAAAAGAGCTGAGCTATTAATGGAGGAAGGGGAAAGAAAAGACCCCCACAAACACAGCACCAATGGAAATAAACAGAAAAAGATGTGAGAAGCATTTTAGGTGCAGAGTTGTATATTATAGGCAGACAGGGCTGGGTTGGTTGACCAATTAGGTATGTGCTGCTAAAGCAAGGCAGGAAAAAGAGTCACAAGGAGCTAGCTTCCCTCCCAAAGTAGAAACAGGGACACATCTGTAAACATCCATGCATACCCAACCTCCCTGCAATGTCCATACACATACACCTATGCACATTTGTGCACCTGTGAAGGTCAGTATGTCTCTATTTACCCTTACTTTTAAAAGACCAATGTAAAGAGCCGATTCCTCTTTGCCTTCTTTTCAACCATTCACATTTAAACTGGATCCTTTAGCCCAATGGTTCCCAGCCCCACCTGAAGATTGAAAGCAGCTGGGGAGCATTGACAACTTCAGGTATATGGTCTCTGGAGGCGTTTCTGTTCCAGTTGGTCCAGGGAGCAGCCTGGGATCCTGGGGTATTGTTAAAGCTCACCAGCTGATTCTAACATGGCTAACATAATGACACATTGTGGGGGTTTCACTGTCAGCACTGATAGTGGGCCAGCACTACAGAGGTCTAACATCTACGTACACCCTCTGTCACCAGGGTTCCAATTGAGATTTCTGTTTCCACTGTGCTTTCTAACCAAGCCAAGGCCAGGCCAGCTCCAACTCATTCAGCCCTAGTTATATGATTAGATAGTTATTTTTCAAATGCCAAGTATTTGCAGTTGTTGAAAAAAGAAGTGTAGCTGCTTCTGACCTCATCAAAATGGCTCTCAAATACACCCAACACAGGCTTCATTTATTTATTTTTTTTCTTTCCAACATAACACAAACACACACGACGGAATAAATTCTCATAGGTAGATAACACGGAAAGCAGTGTAGGACCAAAAAGGCAGGCAGTCCAAAGGCCGGGTAGGGGCCTCAGGGGATTTTATCAAGGCTTTTGTGCTGTCTTGAGAGGCACCCAGAACAGCCTAGATGCAGAAGTGAGGCCGGGATGAATCTAGGCAGAGCCACCCAAGTGTTTCAGAGCCACTTTGAGTAGTCTGATGGTGTGTTAGGTTTCTGCCCTATGATAACAGACCTGAGACAAACAACAAAAAGGAAACTTTATGGAATTCAGTCCATGGTTGCTTGGCCCTGTTGCCAGACAGGATATTATGGTGGGCAGTGTGTGGTGGAGAAAGCTGGACACCTCAGGATGGCCAGGAAGGGGGAGATGGGAGGCGGGCCAGGGTTCCAGTTTCCCTTCAAGGGAACACCCCCAATGATCCCCCTTCCTCCCACTAGGCCCCACTTCCTAAAGTTTCCACCAACCCCTGATAGTGCCATGGGCTGGCAACCAAGTCTCTAATGTGTGGGCCTCTGGAGACATTTAAGATCCAAACCTGTGGATGTGCCCATCGACCTCCACCATAGGAGTGAAGGGCAACAAAGTGGGTGGAAAGACTGAAGCTCCAATTATATTTCATTTCTGCCATGAGGCATGATGACATGCACCCTAGACGGCATATCTGACACGTGACAACTGCTCCATTTCAGCAGGTGCACTCCATCATAAATCATGCAGGTGTGTTCGTTGATGATGACAGATAAGACTGGTGGGGACAGAGACAGCTGTGGGCAAAACACAAAATAATCCCGCTGGAGACAGATAACGCCTGCAGCTCTCTGCCCTGGCTCAAACCTGCTCTTTGCAGAGCACCTCCAGGAGTGACAGGAAGTAGCTGAGTCTTTCTCTCCTTGACCTGTGGCCCCTTACAGGACTCAGCGATGCCTGTCCATCACAGTTAAGTTATGCAAACATTCTGAAGTGATGCTTTGTGGATCAATTAGATCAGAGGCTAATGTCTTCACTCATTTAAAACACAATTTTCAGAAGATGGACTAATTAAGTATGCATGAGGCCATAAAAGCCACTTGTGGCTTTTATGTGGCAGTGAACAATCCGGCAATGAAGAAGCTGCATTCTAAAGGGAATGACTGTCTTTACTTAATGGGTAACAGGACTAATGGAAAACATCTTGATAATTGGAGATGAAGAGGCAGCAACTCCAGGGGGAGAAGGAAAGAGGAAATGCCCTGACCCAGGGCCAAGTAGAAATGAAGTTATTATTAAAAAGAATGAAATATTTATCCGATTTCTACTACCTTGATTCAAAAAAAATATTATTGCATTTTACAGTCTGCTGGAGCACTTGTTAAAATCATGGATTCCCCGGCCTTGAGATAATACCTGAAAGAATAAGAGGAATAAAGGGGTTTTTTTGGGGGGGGAGGGGGAATATGTTTAGTGGTATTCAGGACTGAAGCTAGGGCTTTGCACATGCTAGGCAAGCATACTACCCCTGGGCTATACCTCCAGCCCTAGCATGAGGTTTTACAGATGTCTGATGCCCTGTTGGAGCTGAATTACCCTGATCATCCAGAAATACACTCAATATCAACGTAGGGTTATGATTCTCCACTTCTAATGGCAACAAAGTCACTCCCAGAGTGCTGGGGCTCCACCTCCAGAGTTTTGTTTTGGCTTTTAGTACCAGGTATTGAAGTCAGGGATGCTTAACCACTGACCCACATTCCCAGTAACCCCCACCTTTTCTTTCTGAGACAGCGTTAGTAAGTTGGGTAGGGCCTCACTAATTTGCTGAGGCTGTCTTCAAACTTGTCATCCTCCTGTCTTGGTCTCTTGAGCCACTGGGATTACAGTGGCTCCACACCTGGCACCCCCCAGAGTTTTTGATTCATCAGGCCTGGGTAAGACTGAGAAGGTGTTTGACTGGCTTTCCTTCCTTCAACCATCCTGGCCCCATTTAGAAGATGAAAGGGTTTGATTTGACATGAATGGAAAATAATTCCTCCTCATTTGCAGTTCATGGAGACAGTTCCCACCTGTGGAACGCATTGGATGGCTCACCTTTGAGGGTCTGTGCATCATGCTCAGGCCAACTACATGGAGGAGTGCTTAGCTGCAAAAAAAGGACTTTGGACCATGTTGAAATATGTACTGTAGTGCAGGACGTACCTGGAAGCCATGGGCAAGTGCATAGGAACCATTCCTCATCTTTAAAAGGAGCAAAGTTACAAAACACTCATTTGACAAGAGATTCTAAAGGTCAGCGGTGGCAGCTCCAAATTGCCTCCCAAGAGATGTGCCCACATTCTTACAATGGCTTGGGTGGTGGAGCTGAGGTCTGGGCTGGAGTCACCTGGGGAATTTTAAGAAAACAGTGCCT